GTTTGTTTTTTTTTGGGGGGGGGGAGTTTTTTGTTTTGTATTTGTGAGGGGAGTTTTTTTGTTTGTTTTTTGTTGTTGTTGTTTTGTTTTTTTGTTGACCAAAACCGCTGCTCATTGAACGATAATGATATAAGCACTTTACACAAAAATATTCCTCAGAGGGTCATACAATTGTGTTTACGTCATTCGAACCGATTATGGCCCCATGACATCATGCAGACTCGACAAGAAGAATAAGTGCGGACTTCACCCCTTCCCATTTCTTTCTCTGAGAGAAAAAAAGAGAAGAAAGACACGCGAAAAAACATTACCTCTGTTGTGATAATCGATTCGCGCTTTTTTTTCCTTCTTTTAAATAGAAATCAATGAAACTGATGGGTTATTATTGTCGTTGGATGAGGTGGGTTTCTTAAAATAGCAAACAAGTGAGACTGCAGATGTTATGACATTTCCCCACGCAATGATAAAACGTGTTTGAAACTTAGTCGTAAATCAGTCTTACTATTTATAATATTGAGCTTACAATGTTGAAATAAAAAAGATAAACAATCATAAAGAAAAAAAACAACCCCTCCCCCCCCCCAAAAAAAAACAAAAAACAACGATGACAATAACTTAACATCCATCAACTTCAAAGAAGAGAAAAGGCGCCGCCTTGTTGTCAGTCTTTACAAAATACGAACAGAAACGTTCCTTGCTGTAGGTGTCTGTATGATGTTATTGATTTTTTCCCTGCCCCTCACACAGAATCATAAAGTTCAGTTGTGTTCAATATTGCAAATCGTGGAATCAGACATTTGTCTTGATTTGTTCCAGTTCAACAACTCAACGTGGCTATTGATTTAAACATCCCGTTAGTCTGGAAAGCGGACTTTTATTACCCTGGGGGATTGGGGGAGGGGAGGGGGTGGCTCTCGGAAGAATGAAAAGAGTAAAAAACACGAACAAATAACTATTTAAAAAATAGAAATAATAAAAGAAGCAGCTCACCCAGTTCAAACTACGTGTCTCTTTGTCTCAATATAGTATCAAGAGCAAAATAGCAAAAAGGAACTGCTGAGAACATGCAAGTAGAAAACCTATAATTGTCGATGCACTACGCCACCCTTTCCCCAAAATTATACCTCTCGATCATTTAGGCTGTGGGTTTCTACAATCCTGCCTGTCAAGGCCAACCCGGGCAGAGAGGAATACAACGTCCAAGTAAACAGACGGTAATACTCGATAAAATCTTCCTCATCCGGAATCGAACACAAGTTGTTGACTTATTCCTGCTTTGTTGCAGCAATATAAAAATAAGCATGTCCATAGTTTGTTGTTTTTTAAATTCAAATAACAAGCATGTACTACCCACCAAAATGTTTTCAAAAAGTACGAAGATTTAATTAATGTATGTGGGCGCAGATGTAGTACAAGCAAGCAGTACCTTTTAAATGAAGACAAGGCCAAAAATAGCAAACAATGTAGCGTCTGGTCAGTAGACTGTCGGCTTGCAACAGGCTTGTAAGTATAAATGACTACACGACAGGCGTCGGTAGACAAACTATACAAAAAGCCCTCCAATGTGACGGAGAAACAGTAAGTCATGTAAACGTTTTGTGGTTTCCCCCTTGTACGTGACCTTTGTTTCCACACTGAAGTCATTGACGTGACCTTGCCCTAAGGGCTCTACAAGTTCCCCTACAGTACCTTTTCCATCGCCGCCCTTTTCTTCCTTTTCTCTGAGAACTGTAACCTTTGACACAAGTGCTTTTACCAGAGACTCGTGAACAAAAGTTTATCAACAGAATTCCATACTGTGGCAGATTTTTTGAAGCTTTTTTATATTCATATGAGACATACGCACGTGCATACACTTACACACACATACACACACACACACACACACACACACACACACACACACACACACACACCGTGCACACACGAGTATCCAGGGCAAGACACAACATTCATGACAAACTGCAAGTGCGAACTAGATAGATCTCGCTCTACGTATTGGGGACGCGGTCCACTCAGCAAACTATATCATAATTACAGAACGCATGCACCTGCCAGCTAGACCAACAAAACATGCAAACGTGCAAGTCACATGGCTGGGACAATCAAGACGCCACTAACCCAAGTTTGTTCGTTTTATGTAAATGTGGGTACACAACACA